TTTAGGAATTATGGAGGAGCGTCTCAGTTCTGGTGTGCGCGGTTCTTCTTGAACTGCTTCAGGATTGATCTGAACATCATTTCTAGAAATCTCCTCAAACTCAGCAAATTCCTTTATTTCATCCTCGGTATTACTTGATTCTACGGTTGACCTGTCTTTGTACATCACATTTTCATTGAAAATGACGTCTATGCTTCTGATGATCTTTCAATTTTCGTAGTCCCAAAACCAGTAACCGAACTCATCACCACCATAACCAAAAAAGGCACATTTGTTGGACTTAGCATCAAGTTTACTTCTTTCAGCAGAGACTATGTGTACATAAGAAATACAACCAAACACTCTTAAGTGTGAAAGGTCTATTTCTTTCTTACTCCAAGCTTCCTCTGGTATTCCGCCATCCAAAGGAACTGAGGGCCCACGGTTGATCAGGTAAGCTGCAGTGTTGATAGCTTCAGCCCATAGAAATTTGGGCAATCCGGCATGTATCCTCATGCTTCTAGCACGTTCATTCAGAGTTCTGTTCATTCGCTCTGCTATGCTATTCTGCTGCGGTGTTATGGGAATTGTTGTCTCCATCTTGATCCCATTGTTTGCGCAAAAATCTCTGAATCTACTGTCTCTGTACTCTCCTCCATTGTCAGACCTCAACCGCTTGACTTTCAAACTAGTCTCATTTTCCACCATGGCCTTCAATTTTCTGAAGGTATCAAGACTTCTGATTTCTTCTTCAGAAAATAAACCCACACCTTCCTTGTTGAATCATCGATGAAGGTGACATAATATAGTGAGCCTGCAAGAGATGGAACTGGGGATGGTCCCCATACATCAGTATGAACCAATTCTAACCTTTCTGCCTTGGGTGCCTTGCCAATCTTTGCAAAACTGACATTCTTTTGTTTGCCAAAGATGCAATCCTCGCATAGTCCGACATCTACATTCTTTAGATCCGACAGCTTCCCTTTTGACAGAAGTATCTTCATTCCTTTCTCGCTTATATGGCCAAGCCTTTGGTGCCATAGGTTTGATTTTCCATCAGCATCTGCTACAGCAATGATATTCTCTAAGTTTGAGGTTACATAGAGAGTACCAGTCTTCTTACCACGAGCAATGACGAGTGCTCCTTTTGTAATCTTCCATTCACAACCTGAAAAGGTTGTACTGTATCCTTCTCCATCAAGCTGTCCAACAGAAATCAGATTCCTTTTGAGGCTAGGAATATGTCTCACTCCTTTCAGCGTCCAGGTGGTCTGGTCTGACAACTTTATTCGGATGTCTCCTTTTCCGACGGTCTTCAAAGTTTCATCATCAGCTAGATGAACCTTTCCAAAATCACCACTGACATAGTTCTCCATGATTTCTTGGCATGGGGTGGAGTGGAAAGATGCCCCTGAATCCAAGATCTATGATTCAATCGGACTGTTGACGCTTAGAATCATGGCATCACCTGTCTCCTCTGTCACGTTGGCAGAATCCTGTGCGCCGGTATTTTTCTTCAGTACTCGGCAATCTCTTTTAAAGTGACCCTTCTTGCCGCAGTTATAACAGGTAAAATCTTTCTTTCCTGTTATTGATTTTCCCCTTCTGGATTTTGATCTGCCACGATTTGAATTTCTTTCTGAAGTTCTCCCTCTAGACTCCGTGTGCAAGGCTGAGGAGGTTGATGCTTCACCCGATTCTCTTCGTCGAATTTCTTCACTCAATACCAGATCCCGAACATCGTCAAATTTTAATTTATTGTTTCCCGACGAGCTACTGACTACTGTAACAGTAGCATTCCAACTATCTGGTAAAGATGATAAGAGAATTAAAGCTCGAATTTTATCATTGAATTCAATTTCCACTGAACTCAACTGGGTTGTGATTGTGTTGAGTTCATTCAGGTGTTGTGCCACCGATGCCCCTTCCGTCATCCGCAAATTGAATAATCGCCTCATCAAATGAACTTTGTTTGAGGCTGAAGGCTTCTCATACATACTGGAGAGAGCCGTCATAAGACCCGCCATGGTCTTTTCCTTTGCTATGTTGAAAGCAACATTGCGGGATAACGTCAGTCGGATAACTCCGAGGGCTTGTCTGTCGAGAATAGCCCAATCTTCATTCTTCATGCCCTCTGGTTGTTTTCCTGAGAGGGGTTGATATAGATTTTTCTGGTATAGAAAATCTTCAATTTGCATATTCCAAAATCCAAAGTCCGCACCATCGAACTTTTCAATTTTCACATTCCTTCGTCTGCAGCCATCGCTCCCACTCGAATCTGGCTTCGTTTGGATCGTTTCTGACAATTTCTGCGAACCGCCGTGTATTAGAACACCTCCGTCGACAAACTCGTATCGCCGATCGAATTTCACTATTCATGAAATTTACTATTCACATGAATAGTAACCCGAATAGTAACCTCGTAAAAATGGACAGAATTCACAACCAAAAGCTCTGATACCAGTTGTTAGGAAATAAACCGAGTACGAGTAATTTCCTTATAACCAGATTAGTGCGAATGCGAAATAAAAGCGGAAAAATAATACCCGAAATTGATAACGGAGTTCAGCCAATTTTGCTTACGTCTCTGGACTGCTGCAGATCTTTTACTAAAGAGAAAAAAATTACAGGTATTTACAAAACACACTTGAGAGAGAACTGGAAGATTTTGGGATGATTTTCAAGCTAAATGAGCTAGGGTATTTATAGTTGAAACTTAGGGACCAATCTTTGAAAATACTCTAAAATTTAATGACTCAATTTTATAATTATCCCTATTACTAAATAATAAAATATTTAGCAATTCATGTTTTAAATTCAAGCAGCCACCGGCTGCTGGCTTTTCTTTGACCAACAGCTTGCTCATTGATTTCTTAATAGCTTCAGAAACTGTTTGGACACTCCACGATGCACTAAATTATGCTAGGAGATTAAATTTTGGAAGATCGTAGTTGAGATAGACAACGACAAAGCAGTTGGAATGGCTCTTGGTAAATCAAACCTTTATACGATCATGCTGTAGTCAACTTAATCAAAATACTGATACGAAGTGATTAAAAAATAGACTCATCATGTGTCACGAGAACAAAACCAAATCACAAATACTTTAACAAAACTGTGTCGAGGTCAACCATTAGGCGAAATATTCGTTGATATCCCTCCACATCGGTTAGAGGTATAGTAGTCCAGGAAGCTACACAGTATGATGTCATTTGAAAAGAAAAACATGACTCAATAAACCGAATCTGCTAATTGGGGGAAAAACATGGGTCAGACCCAAACCATGAAAACTACTTGATGGTACGAGTAGGTGAAGCTGACATCACAATTTGTATGGAACAACTAATGAACTACTTAATGCATTGATTTTGCCCATAAAAAGTATTATTGATTGGGCCAGTTACATATATAATCTTTTAATTTAAAAATTTAATAACGATTAAAACTAGTATAACTAAAAGTTCTAGAAAAACTTTAAAATTTATGTAAAAATTACCTAGTTCAAAATTTAACATTTTCATCAATTAAGATGGACTCTCATTTTCATATAACCAAATTTATCTATGATCAAGATAAAATATATTAAATAATTTTAATTGAATAAAATACGATATGAGATTTATCTTTTAAATTTTATTATAGTCTTGTAGGAAATATTGAAAAATTGTTAAACAAACAATTAATAAAATCAGAAGTTCATAAGTAATTAAAGAACAAAATAAATAAATAAAGCAAAAATTTTATAGAAAAAACTGTAGAATTTTTTTTAAAAAAATCAAAATCTTAGTAAAGATATTTGATTGTTTTCATACTTTTAAAAAATTTCTTTGAATTTAAAAAACACATAGTGAAAATAAATAAATAAGAGAAAGATAGCATCATATCATATAAATTAGAAACAAACAACTTTTAATTTAAGATTTTAAAGAGGAAAATTATAGTTAAATTTAAAATTAAAATAGTACTCTAATTAACTTAATTTTAACTAAATAAAATTAAATATAATGAAAGTATATAAATAAATTCTCTTGGGCATAGGGGGTCAGGTCCTAGGTAGGCACATGCCTACCTCCGCCCCTGCTTTTACGACTGTATCAACCGACACTGTTCTGGCCAGCAATGGTGTCGAGGCGTAATTGTTTAATGATAATCAATCATTACTATGCAGTATCCGGAAAATAATAATGGTGATAATCAATATTTTAATTTTGTCAATCAGGCCACAAATTATTTAATGTATTAAGTCAAGTCACCTGAAGTTAAAATTTAACGGAAGTGCTGGCGTGACAGTTAATAGAACTGATAATTATAAATTTGGTCCTAAATATTTGAGTGGAAGAAAAAAAAAATTAAATAAATTTAAAATATAAAAAAAAACCTCTAATAAAATGGTGACATGTGTCGTAATTTGATTAGAAAATAAAATTTATTAAATTAAATTAAAATAATGATAAAATTGATAGAATGCACAAATATTTAGGATCAAATATATAATTATATCAGTTTTATTAACTGACACATCAACACTTCCTTTAAATTTTAATGTCAGGTAACATGATTGAATTCAATCAAATAATTTTGTGGTTTGATTGACAAAATTAAAATACCGATCATCACCATTATTATATTCCAGATACTGCAGAGTAAAGATCGATAATCATTACACAATTACATCTCGACACCATTGCTGGCCTAGACAGTGCCGATTGATTCCGTGATAAAAGCAATGAAAGGAAATGAAGAGAGGATGAGAGAGAGAGAGAGAGGGGGAGCGTTTACACAATTAAGGGTGTAAATGAGTCGATGCGAGCTCGAGTATTGCTGAGCTCGACTCGAACTCAAAAATTTAAACATAGGCTTGACTCGAAAACTCGCGAGCTAAAAATTATCAAACGCAGCTCGAACTCGAACATTAATATTAAAACTGACTCAAACTCGAAAAGGCTCAAACTCAAAAAAAATCAGGAGCTCAATTGAAGCTCGATTAAAGCTCAATTTTGAGCTCGATTAAAGCTCGATTTTGAGCTCGATTCAAGCTTGAACTCACCCACTACCACAAATTATGACATAAGCTCTCCTATAGTGGGGACTGGGGAGACCTTAGGCGAGTGCCCCTCCCAAGTGTAATGAAAGTCACTTACCTAGGCCATGAACCTTGATGATCGTCCATTGACCCCGTCTAGGTAAGTATGTTGAAAGGAGGTAGTTGTCTTTTATTTATAATGCCAAATAAGTGGTCCACTCATGTACTTCCCCAATGTGGGATATTGCTTCAGGGTATAGTAGCTTCACTTAAAGAGCTTCGTGTAGATTATAACCGGCTCAAAGCCCTTCCTGAAGCAGTTGGGAAGATAAAAATGTTGGAGGTTTTATCTGTGCGCTATAATAACTGTTGAAAACATTTTGATGTTTCAATATAACAAATTAAATTAAATGAATTTTAAGATTTCACAAATGATTTTCTAAGTATATTCGATTTAATTACTCGAATATCAAATTATTACTCCAAGTCTTTCAAGATCAATTTCAAACCTTACTAAATGTGTAAAATTGTGTTTTATACTTAAAAAACTATTTTTGAAACAATTTTCACAAAGTATTTTGAACCAAAATCAAGCCTAAAACCAATTTTTCAAAGTGATGCACCGATACACCAATCTATGCATCGATGCACCAATTAATTTTTCAAACATCGAATGCATTTTGTGTATCGATGCACATACCATGCATTGATGCACTCAGTGCATTTGATGCATCAATGCACAAGACCATGCATCAATGCACTCTTAGTGTACCGATGCACTGAGAGTCTAACGGTCAAAATATTTGAATTTTACACTGATGCACCTAGGGTATGCATCGATGCACTCACGCTCCCAACTACTTTAATTAATTGTTTTCACACTTAAACGGCTTTATTGACTCCACTAATCATCCCCAACATTCAGAATCATTTGAAGGTGTATTTAAACAAGCTTAGAATCCATTGATCAACAACAAGAAATAAAAATCAACAAGAATCAAGAGAGAATCAAAGAGAAAACATCAAACCTCAAGTTTGAGCATTTCAAGCCTATTTTTCATTCAATATTCATTTTGCTTTCAAGAACACTACTTGTACTCAATTGTATTCATTTTTGAGTGTTTTTTTCTTTGTTCTAGAATTGTGCAAACAATCTACCTTGTGAGGATTTCCTTGTAAGTTTGCAAATTTATAATCTTCTCTTTGAGAAAGAGTGTTCTCAAGAATTGGGGTATTCTTGAGGGTGTTGTAAGGTTATCTCTTTGGCCTCAAAAGAAAGAACAAATTAGTGAATTTATTGGAAAATCCTTAGTGTGGATAGCTAAGGTAGTGGACGTAGACTTTGGTTGAGAAAGTCGAACCACTGTAAATCGTTGTGTAAATCTTTTCAATTTTCTGCAAATGCTTCCACCAGATTTTTTAATTGCCAATTCACCCCCTCTTGGCAAATTCCGTCGATCGATTAACACAATAATTGGTATCAGAGCCTAACTCATTTGAAGGTTTAATCACCTCTTGAGTCTATTCGGGAAGCGTTACATCGATAATCAAAGTCATCAATGGCCTCCACTTCAAACGTCGACTCTGGTCTCGATTCGATGCCCGTCAACAAGCCTCCTTTCTTCAATGGGGCTAACTATGCCTATTGGAAGAATAGGATGATGTATTTCATTCAAGCTAGTGACATAGGAGCATGGAATATTGTAGAATATGGATATATCAAGCCTATCACTCATCCAAGATTGTGGAGTGAAGGAGAGACAAGATTGTTCCAGCTCAACTCCAAAGACATCCATATCATATTTTGTGCTCTTGGACCAGATGAATATGGAAGAGTTTAATCTTGTACAACCGCCAAAGAAATATGGGATAAACTACAAGTCACTCATGAAGACACCGACGAGGTAAAAAAATCTAAAATTAGTCTTCTAACACATAGCTATGAAAATTTCAGGATGAAACCAAATGAAGATATCAAAGCTATGAAGGATAGATTCTCAACGATTGTCAATGGTCTCAAATCATATGGAGATATCATACCAAACGAAAAGCTTGTGAGGAAGTTAGTTTACTCACTTCCAAAATCATGGCAATCCAAGAAGACTACAATCATCGAGGCTAAGAACCTAAAGTCCTTAACTCTTGAAGAGCTAATCGGTTCCTCCTCACTCATGAAATGATGCTTGAAGATGAGGTGGACCTCAATAAGATTGACGAGACACCAAAGGAGAAGGAGAAGAAAAAAAACATTGGAGTTGCTCTCAAATCCATAAAAGATGAGAGTGATTCGGATGAAGATGACGATGACGATGACGAGGAAATGGCATTGTTTGCCAAACGGTTCAGAAAAATGATAAGACCTTACCGAGGAAGAAAATTCAAATGAAATAAAGGCCTCAAAAATGAACCAAAAAAGAATGACCCTATCATTTGCTATGAATGCAAAAATCCTGGGCATGTCAAATATAATTGCCCATAATTAAAAAGAAAGGGTCAATCAAAAAATAAGCACAAGGCTCATGTGGCTACATGGAGTGATGAAGAGGGTTCCGATGAAGAGGAACAAGAAGTAGCAAACTTGTGCTTGATGGCATTCGGGGAAGATTCTAAGGTAACCTCTAACTCATCTGAATTTGATGATTTATCTTATGATGAACTATTAGAGGAATATAATGGGTTGGCTTCGGATTATGAGAAATTGTTTTTAAAATATAAAAATGATGTTTCAAAATTGAAAAATGAAAATAAACTCATATCCAAAACCAACAACGATCTTGAAAGTAAAATCAAAGATTTGCAAATCAAACTAGAAGAGTTTGAAAAGAAAATTTTGGATTTGCAAAATTTACTTTCAAAGGTCAATGATGATCATCAAAAGAAAATTGATGATCTTAAAACTTCTTTTGATAAAGTTGGAACAAAACGTTTTGAAAATGGAGAAAATTCAAAATCCAACTTTATTAGAAAAGTTTTAAAAACTACAATCATTGAGGTCCCCGGAGAACCTCTAATGGAAAAATCGTTAGAAGTATATGGGTTCCTAAAGAGCTCATTACTACTAAAGATAAGGATATCCTACACAAATGGATACCTAAGGGGACTATGATTTTGGAAACTAATGAATATGGACCCAAAAGAATTTGGGTACCAAAAATTAGAAATTAATCTATGTTTATAGGAAAAGGAGCATTGCTACAAGGCACGAGAAACAAATTCAAATTCATGGTACCTTGATAGTGGATGCTCGAGACACATGACCGGAGACAAAAGCCGGTTCATTGAGCTTAACGCCAAAAATGGAGGAGAAGTGACTTTTGGTGATGATTCAAAAGGTCACATTGAAGGTATAGGTACTATAGGTAATACATGTTTCATACAAATTAAAAATATTTTATATGTGAATGGATTAAAACATAATCTCTTGAGTATTAGTCAATTTTGTGACAAGGGATTCAATGTCATGTTTGAAACTAATGGTTGTAAAGTTATTGACATTGCATCTAATCGGATTATGCTTGTTGGTCATAGAATAGGAAACATTTACATGGTGCATTTAGACTCTATCGTAATGACTAATTTATGCCTAGTTTCTAAGGATGAGCATGATAGTTGGTTATGCCATAGGAGACTAGGACATGCTAGTATGAGTGTTTTGCAACTGCTAATTCAAGGTGATTTAGTTCGAGGGTTGCCTAAACTAAAATTTGATAATGATAAAAATGTGATGCTTATGCTAAAGGAAAACAAAAGCGAGTTTCTTTTAAATCCATTAATGATGTATCAACTAGTAGAGTATTACAATTGATCCATATAGATCTTTTTGGGTCAACTAGGACTACTAGCTTGGGTGGAAAACAATATGCATTTGTCTTGGTAGATGACTATTCTAGATATACTTGGGTTCTATTTTTAAGTACTAAAGATGAATCATTATAAAAATTCATCACGTTTTCAAAAGTAATCCAAAATGAAAAAGGTTACTCTATAAATAGTGTTAGGAGTGATCATGGAACTGAATTTGAAAATCTTGGATTTACTGAATTTTGTGATTCTAACGGTATTAGCCCTAATTTTTCAACACCTAGAACCCCTCAACAAAATGGAGTTGTTGAGAGGAAAAATCGAACTTTAGAAGAAATGACTAGAACCATGCTTTGTGAAAACAATTTGCCAAAATACTTTTGGGCGAAAGCCACAAATACCACTTGTTATATTATTAATCGAGTAATGATTAGGCCTATTTTAAAGAAAACTCCATATGAACTTTTCAAAAATAAAAAGCCTAACATTAGCTATTTTCATCCATTTGGATGTAAATGTTTGTTTTAAACAATGGTAAAGACAATCTTGGCAAATTTGATGCTAAAGTGATAAAGGAATTTTTTTGGGATATTCCTTAAATTTTAAAGCTTATCGAGTATTTAATAAAAGAAATTTAGTTGTAGAAGAGTTTATATATGTTGTTTTCGACGATAATCCCCTTCCGAGGAAGGATTCTTGTTTGAATGATGATGTAGGTATTGTAAATATAAATGACATTGAACATGACGTTGGAGAACCATCATCAAAGAAAGAAACGAAAGATGAGGAAACTCAAGATCCTCTCGAGAATCTAACCATTGAAGAAAGGGAAGTATCTTACCCAAGAGAATACAACTATGTCAAGGATGGTGAGATTATAGGTGATCCATCAAAAGGGGTAACAACTCGATCTTCTCTTAGAAATATTTGTAATTATGTTGCATTTATCTCATGCATAGAGCCTAAGAATATTAAAGAAGCATTAAAAGATGAACATTGGATTATGGTTATGCAAGAAGAGTTAAATCAATTTGAGAAAAGTAAAGTATGGACATTAGTTGAAAGACCTAGTAATAAATCTATTGTGGGTACTAGATGGGTGTTTAGGAATAAGTTTGATGAGAGTGGTAATATAGTGAGAAACATTGCTAGACTTGTTGCTCAAGGGTATACTCAAGAAGAGGGCATAGACTATGATGACACATACGCTTCCATAGCTATGATGGAAGCAATTAGAATGTTATTAGCATTTGCATGTTTTCATGAATTTAAATTATATCAAATGGATGTTAAAAGTGTATTTTTAAATGGTTTTATAAAATAAGAAGTGTACGTGGAACAACCTCCAGGTTTTGAAGATTCAAAAT